CTGGGTATTTTGAGATGCCCTCGCCTGAATGAGGTTGGGCAAAATGGGCTGGCAGGTCACCAGGGAGTCCCCAGTCTGCTTTTCTTCTTGCCAGTGATTTGCTGAACTTGGTCATGTACAAGTTGACTACAAAGGATGACCATTATTTGAGCCTCTTAGGAGAAGGGAGGTCACAGAACCCATAGCTGTGGAGGCCCTGGCACCCTTGACAGCAGAGTGCTTAGGGTCAGGGAGTAGCTTGCTCAGACCTGCCTGTGGAGTGGGTAGCAGTTCTGGCCCAGTCCCTGCTGCTGAGCACCCTTATGTGTGGTTTGTTATTGTCTTCTGTAGTGAGGGCAGGTCACGGGGAGAGGGGGGACAGACATGCAGGAGCCCAGCTGGCCCAGAGGAGTGGGAGTGCATGCAGCTGACTCAGTGCCTGGCACTTCCCCACAGCACCACCAGGTCTCCGAGGCCGTGGTCCCCCCAACCCCACCCTGACGTCTTCCCAGGGCCAGGTTTAAGGAACTGACGGGGCTGCCAACTGCTCAGGAAGCTGCTGGCTTTCTGAGCTGGATGACAGACTGTTGTCCTTGCCACTGTGCAGGGAGCACTGGAGTTTCTAGGGTTTGTTCGTGGCTTGCAGCTCACCACCCAGGTCCCGGTTCACCTTGCCCTGCTCCCCCTGGAGGCGCCTTTCGGTAGGGCTGTGAGGTGAGGTATTGCTGGGCTGAGAGGTGCATGCTAGGCAGTCTGTTTTGTTTCCAGTGGCTGTTTCATTTTTTAACTGGACTCCTCTAACCATCAGATGCTGGGCAGATGGCTGGCTGCTCCGAAATGCTGTTTGCCACCAAACTGGGATTTGGTCTTATCGCACCCAGTATTCTCCATCCCTCTGGGCTTTCTGTAGACCAGTGTTTCTAGGGCAGTGATGGCGAGCCTATGACACGCGTCAGAGGTGACACACGAACTCATTTTTTTGGTTGATTTTTCTTTGTTAAATGGCATTTAAATATATAAAATAAATATCAAAAATACAAGTCTTTGTTTTACTATGGTTGCAGTTATCAAAAAACTTCTATATGTGACACGGCACCAGAGTTAAGTGAGGGTTTTTCAAAATGCTGACACGCCGAGCTCAAAAAGTTTGCCATCACTACTCTAAGGGAAGTAGCTCCTGGCCAGGTCCAGGACCCTCGCGGACCCTCAAGAGAAGACATCCCCTGGCAGGTTGCCCACAGTTCCACCTCCGGCCTTTGTCCTGGCGGACCCGAGGCTGTCTTGTCACTGTTGATGGGGCCCGAGCTCCAGCGTCGGATTGCCCTCTCCAGAGAGGCTGCACAGGAGCTAGTCTGCCAGCTGTTTCCCTTAGAACAGTAACAGAGCTCTCAGTGGCCTTGGGTGATGTGACAGCCAGAGGGACAAGTGCCAGCAGGAGCATGACATGGGAGGCAGATTCATCCAGGCGGCATGGAGACACTGGAGCCGGAGCTGGGGAACCCGTCACCCGAGTGGATTGCAGAGTGCATCAAGTCCCTCCTGCATAATGCCCCGTTTCCATGGCAGGCACGTGGCCCAGGTGGCGCTGGGACTGGCCAGCCTGCAGGGGGACCCTTCCCTAGGCAGCACCCTGCATGGCCGCGATTCCTTTCCCAAACTCCATTTCTTTCCCTCCTTTTCTGACTAGTGCCCCTTCTGATCGACACCCCCTAATTGAGTGATCTTAACGTATTCTCTCAGTCAGGCCTGGGAGCCATTTTGTGTTGTTGGTGGTGAGTTTGCACACAAGGGGGTCCTCCCTTAGGAGACCGTCCCATCATCTTTGAAAATGTTAGTGCCTCTGCTGTCATTGCCTTTGGGGTATTAGAGGAAGGGAGGGAGAGAGGAGGATAAACAGGGGGAGAGGGACATGGTGGGGAAGATGGATGTGTTGGTAGCTAAGTCTTGGGAGGGAGAAAGCGGCGGAGAAGGGGACCCTGGAGAGTCATTATCCTTCTGGATCTTGGAAGGCAGGGAGGGGGTTCTGTGGATCAGGGGCTGAGCTTTGGGCTGCTTTTCTGGGGTGAGGGAGGGGCTCAGGTCAGGGAGCTGCCAGGCCAGGGCTTGATCCCCAGTAGGGGGTGTGCAGGAGGCAGCCAATCGATGTTTCTTTCTCACTGATGCTTCTCTATCCCTCTCTCTAAAATAAATAAAAAAACATTAAAAAATAAAATTAAGATAGCAGTAGCGGCAGTACTTGCCTCAGAAGGGACGTGGCAGATGAGTGAGCTGGTCTGCATCTCCGACTGCTCTGTGGCTCTGGGGCCTCAGCTCACTGCAGCCATCAGCTCGTTGCGGTCGTTATCATGAAGGGAAATCTGCTGGGGCCGAGTCGGTGTTGTATCCGGGATGCTGGTGGGTGATGGTGGCCTTCACTCCAACTACGGGTTTCCATGTGCGCTAGTATGTTGGAGCCCCTGTCCTTGCTTCAGGGAGCAGAATCTGACGGCTGTGAGTCAGGTTAGAGAGGGTGCGGTGACCTGAGGTGACCTGCTGCAAGAGACCCCTGGAAGGTCTGGAGCCTTTGAACTAGGGTGAAAATGGCTGGGAAGCAAGGAGTGGGAAATAGTTAGGGGGAGCTGGCAGGTTTGGGCACCACTAGCTCTGTGATGGGAGGGCAGGTGAGTGCCAGGTTGTGAGGGTACAGCCAGTGGGAAGTGGTTACAGAAGAAGAGTGGATTTGAAGGTCATGATCAGTTGGTGGCCCTGAAGGACATCCCAGTGGAGATTTCTGGTAGGCAGTGAGAAATGTAGGGCTGGGATTCAAGATTCAGGTCCTAGCCAGAGGCGAGGGTTGAGCATGGTCATCTTCACAGCGTGGAGTCTGCAGCTAAGACCTTGCTGGATTTATCGGGGACAGAGGCCACAGAGCTGAGATTCAGGGACACCTTTGCTCAGGAATCAGAGAAAAAGATGGCGGGGGAGGGGGACCAAAGATCATTGCTATGAAGGCTGAGAAAGGAGTGCTTCAAGGAGGAAGGTAGGAGGGGGACCGAGGGAAGCGCTTTTTGGGTCCTTTGAGGGCAAATCCAGTTGCCTGGGAAGATGAGAGCCCCTGGCTCACTGAGTGTTTGTTCTCCCTGAGTTTTACACATATTACAATTTATTATGTGGTAGGTGTTAAATGTTGTATGGTAGGCAGTAGAGTCATCCCATTTCATAGATGAGGAAACTGAGGCACAAAGAGCATAGATCACTTGCTGAGTTAAAGTTGGAAGCAGGGCTTGAGCCCAGGCAGCCCTCAGTCTTAAACTAACCACAATACCCTGGTATGAGAAAGGAGAGGCGGCAAAGTAGACACACTCTTTTCCCTTCAAACTTATTGAAAGAGGTAGGAGTATGTGGAGTAGCTTGATGGTGTCATCAGGGTGAAAAAGGTGAAAAACCATTTTTTCCTTTTAGAGGTCCCTTAGTTGAACCCCTCAAGAGCTGGGGAGTCTTGAGCAGGATGACACTAGCGTAAACGGAAGGAATGACACGGAGGCGGCTGTCATGGACGGCTTAGGGAAACCAGAGGTGTTCCCCTCCGACTGTGTTCCTGTTCCGGTCCAGGCCTGGCTTGTGCTGGGCATTGACAAGCCAGAAGTTTCTCCAGTGAGCAAATGTTTGGGGTGAAGCTGGCTTTAATGTCACCATCTAGCCCAAGGGGTATATGATTTGCACTTCTTTCTGGAAAGAGACTTGAACAGCAGCTGATAACGTTTATGAAAATCTTCAGTGCCTCTTGCCTGTTGTTTCTGGAGATTATTTGTGGCCTCACTTCTTCCAAATGCCTTTCCCACATGCCACTGAATGCAGGGCAAGTGGCTTCTTAGAAATCGGCAGTCACTTCCTTTTGACCAGAGCAGACACCGTCAGCGATTAGACTGTGCTGCCCTCTCGTGTCCATTTTAAGCCACTACAGGCAGAAGCAGTTTTGTGTAACAGAAAGCTTTGTTATTCCCTGATTCTGAGGTTGGCCCTGAATATGGACTTCATGGGGAATTCCAGCTGGCTAAGGTAAAAAAGGTTGAGGCCTTCTGTCAGTGACTGATGCAAAATCTGAGATGGAGAAAAAAAATGAAACCGGTAGCAGACAAAAAGGAAAAAATTTACAAGTCAACTTGTTTAGAGCCATTGTGCTGTCTGCTCTGTGTCCTCGCCTCATGGAGAAAATGAGATGACAACAGAAACCTGACCTGCTCTCTGTGATTGCTGTCTGTTCCCAGATGCCCCCCTCGGAAGCCTGGAGAACGGGACAGGACCTGAGGATCACACCCTCCCGGAGCCCGGACCTCGGTACAAGTGAGTGGGTGGTCAGAAACCAGGTTGCCTTTGGGGTTGGATTTTATGCAGCATTTTATTCTTTTCTAAAGATAGGGGGGCACCTGCTAGGATTGAAGGGCAAGGCCGTATTTGTGTTCAGTTTTAACTTAACATCACAAAATGTGGAGTTGTCAGGGGTCAAAGGGCGTGAGCGACTTTGTAAGAAATAGGATTTGCATACCATCTTTACTTTGTGCACTTTTGGGGCCAAATCTGGGTACCTTCTCTGTCATTATTTGCTAATTTTAATATTTGATCATGTTGAATAATATTATATGATATTTAAGACTCTTAGATAGCATATGTTTGTGAAGTGCTTAGTCTGGCTTTAGTAGTAAGTGCCGTATCAGTCTTCTTTTTTTCAAATTAAACCATCTCAATACATTCAGCTGCCCAAAGTCCTTGGCTGTGTGGTGGCACAGTGAAGTCTCTGTTCCGTGTGAACCTTGTTGCTGTTACTGTGTTTCCTTCTTTCTCGTCATGGCTTTAATTTGGTGTTTCATTTGCAAGCTCAGCTCCAGGCTGGGAGCCCGATTGCCCCATACCTCGCTTGGGGCTGTGGCCTCTCCCTGGGGAGCTCAGCTGCCCTCTCTGAAACCACACTGCCTATAGGAGGCTGTACCCATCAGTAGTGTCAGGAAGGGTTGGTACCCGACACATCCAGGACTCCGAGTCCTTTTTGCTCTTTGTCTTAGAAAAACTGGAAAATGCAGCATTAAATGAAAAAATCACTTTTAACTCCCAACTCTGTTTCCGTGTTGATATTTTGGTCCTTTTCCTCCTAGTGGGGTATGTGTGCGCGTGTGCGTGTGCATGTGCGTGTGTATGTGCTTGTGTGCTTTAACCACACTGTGGCCCTGCTGTCTTCATGAAAGATGTGCTGTTTTTCATGTTGCAAATGCTTTGTAAATATACAGCCGGTTCTCGTTATCTCTGGTAACTGTTCTGTGCAGTTGCTGTGAAGGCGGAACCACTGTTCAGGGGAAATGGAGGCTGGGCCCCTGTGAACCTCTCACAGCCCTTTCGTCAGCCATCAGTACATACCTTTGTTTTCTGTCTGTTCCTGTTCTAAGACACCTGGTTTAACATATATTGTTGACTTTTTGACATTGAACTCATGGCCATTCGCACTGTAACTCCTGCTTGAACAAAAGGTTACCTGACACGTATTTTCTCCGCGATGGATATCACAGCCTTCTGGTGCTTGGGAACACCAGATGGCCCTTTAACTCCACGCTTAAGTAGCACAATCACCAAGAAATGTGAAAAATGTGGCACTAAATCACCTGCCAGAGGACACACTTGCAGTATGAGAGTTGAAAGATGGAGGCAGAGCTCACCCTGTTGGTGTCAGCGGAGAACACACACACCTGGGGCCCTGCCGCGTGCAGGAGTGAGCACGAAAGCACCTCGATGTGGATTTTGGGGTTACAGATACATTTAGTGGGTGGGGACACTTTTAGGTCAGGAATTGCAAATAATGAGGATTGACTGTAATTCCGAAGGCTGCCTTCTGTTCCTTGTAGTAGGTGTAGCTGAATAAACTTAGCACCAGTTAGTGTTTGAATGGTGAGGGTGTGCATTTGAAGTCGCTGAGTGTAACCTCTTTCTGCCTGCCTTTTCCCAGCGTGGAAGCCAGTCCTCCAGGCCAAGGAAGTCCTCTGAGCAGCTTGTTACCTCCTGCCCCGGTGCCAGAGTCGATGACAATTAGTAAGTACTTTCTGAGTCGCCTCCGCTGGTCCTGGGATGCCTCCTGGG